GCCTGCCGGCTCATGGCCAGGAAGTGCAATAACCACAGCTTCCTTCTGTTACACGCAGCAACAGCGACAAAATAAAGTTGTTGGTTTAAAAACCGGCAAAGTTTGGCAGCAACGGGGCCGGGCACGAGGCAAGGTGAGGCGCAGAAGCCTGTTTTGGAAAGTTCAATCCCATTCCCAGCTTCCAGTGATGCCGTCCCGCCTCCTGCACCCCTAAACCCCTGGAAACCCCCCAACATCATTCGCCCTTTGCCGCTACAGCCTGGACTCGCACCCACCCGGGATGGAAATATCCCCAGCCCGTTTAACCCTGGTTTCTCCTCCGAATTGCAGAGCTATTTTGGTTCTCCAACATCTATTGAGACCAAGGGCTGCAAAGCTTTTTCAGGGCCCGTATTTTGAGTCCTTAAGTTTCACATTTGAAAAGCGAAGCTTGGAAAGGAGGTTAAGAGCTCCCTGCCCGAGCCAAGGCTTCCCAGGAGGCACTTTGGGAGAGCGCAAAGTGTTCAAGCGAGCCTTGCCGGGCTCACACGTGAGCCCAAGAATCAGGCTCGCAGGATTAACAAAACCAAGTTGTTCATTTCACAGACGGAGAATCAAACTAAAAAGGCGAAGGTGGTGTTTTCCCCGATGAAATCCACCCGTTGAGCAGAGGCAAGAGGGAGGTCGGTCGGAGAAGCAGCACCCGAAGACCTGCCGGGCTGCCGGTCAAAAAAAAGCCCCTCGGTGCCGGCATCGAGCATCTTGGGATGCAAGCGCACCCCTCCGGCACGCTGCCTAGTTAGTAGGTCTGGGGAGAGGAGGATCCCATTTCTCCTTCAAACCCATATGTTATTTTTTTTTTCTTTTTTTTCCCCTCCTTGCCCACGATTGCAATCCCTAAAGGTGATTTCCCTGCAGGTCCCTCCGATGCGGAGACATCTGGGGCAGAACAGCTTGGGCATCCGCTGTAAAAGCCACAGGGATGGGGAGCTCAATCGAAACAACACAGCTCGTTTGGAAAGGACGGGTCCATCCCCACGCTGGGGAACTGGACGGGCACCGGCAGCACAGCTCAGGCAAGAGGTGCCGGGAGCTCATTCCCACATGGTTTGCTTCTCAAAAGCATTTATGTCTTGAAGTCAGGAGAAGAAGCAGGGAAGGGGTCACCTGAGCACCATGTGCCAGCCAGGACTCGGCATTTTGTGACAAGCCGCAGTTGCTGGCAGAGGACGGCCGCTCCTCAGGGCTTCCTGCTGCTGATAGCTCCAAAATTCAGGAGGAAAAGAGTCATTTCATCTACTTAACGAGGCATTTAAGACTTGACTAATTGAGAGAGAGAGCAGCTCACAGCTGGGCTGAGCCTGCGAGACTAGCCTGGCACGGAAAGGCACGCCATCGGGCAGGGGAGGGGGCTCCAGGAACAGCAGATGGGCTTTGCTTGGATTTTTTTGGGAGGCCCGGCTCATCCGACGTACGTTCACACACGATTGAACGAGGAACGCTGGTGAGGAACCGAGGTGGAGCGTGCCCCACCAGCATCCCCCAAAAACTCCCCAGGACCAGGGTGCATGGCTGTGGTGAGTGCCGGGGACCAGCTGTCACCAGGTTCCAGGGACAGTCCTGGCCATGGCCAGTCCTTCCTCGGATTCGGTAGCCCAGGTGGAAGAGGTCACCTTGGCCAAGTTGCCTGCTGCTGCATCAGGGGCTACAAATTCAATGCAAATAGGACAAACCTTCAGGAAAAAGCCTGTGAAGCCAGACTTAGCCTGGGGCTAAGCCTCCCAGCCTAGGTTGGACACAGCCATGAGCCATCAGGGGCGAAACGGAGACACGGCTCAGTCCAGAGAACCCCGCACCATCCCGAGCTCGCATCCGTGTCGGGGTGATTGGTCCCTCTGATGCTATTTCTCCTGTCTGAGGGCAATAAAACACACAACGGGGGGTTTCACCAACCCCACCAGCTATGTTAGGATTTGCCCGCAACTATCCAGCTCTCTCAGCCACCGGAGACTCGGCCACCGGTGAGGTGTGAGGCCGAGACAGCAGAAGCAGCTCCCTGCGAGGGCTGGCACCGCTCGCAGCAGCAGAACCTGGTGCTGTCCTCCGCAGAAAGCCCTGGGTGCAGGACGGGCCAGGGAAGGTCGTTAAGCCAGTACTAACCTCAGGGAAGACAGCCTGACCCATCATCAAACCTTCAAGACACTGTTTGAGCAGGAGGCTCCATGTTCTCCTCCCCTCAAAAGCTCCCGAGGTGACCGGGGACGTGAAGAGTTAAATCAAAGGAGTTTGCAACCTCATTAAGACCCCAGTAAAGTGTTTGCAGCTCTCTGCACTCCCCCAGCATCTCACAACACAGAGACGTCAAAAAAACCACTTTATTTGGTGCCCCAAATAAGCAGCCCCCACCCTCAGGCAGCAAGCCTTGCAGCGTAAGCACAGCTCTCCCCAGTCTCGTTAAAGGTAGGATGACCGACGAGGTGCACTTGCCTCTTGCTGCAAAAAAACTGGGGTCCCCCAGATCATCAGCAGCACTCACTTCATCAGGGGTTTGCTCGCCCATCCCATGCTCCCCCGTAGACCCCACCGAGCCCCCGGCCAGCAGCACACCCCATCCCCATCCCCATCTCGGTTTTAGAAATCCCAAGAAAGCCAGAGAGAATTGACACTTCATCCAGATCATTATTACTCTGGCTGGAGCATCAGGGCAGGGTTTGGAAAATTTCTGGGAGGGGGTGTGCTGCTAACGGCCATCTGGCAGCCCCTCTTCCTTCACCACGTACCAAGGGGTGGTGGCAGAGCCAGGAATTAAACCCCAAAAGACTCAATGCCAGAACACAGAGCAGACCAGAACCTTCTCCCATGGTTCAGAAGATCCTGGAAAACACGGCCCTGGGACCATGAGTGCACGTATTAAGGTGTCGACCCGCTTCCATGCTGCCGAGCAATGCCGTGTCATGGGGGCTGCATTTCGTGGGGGCCAAAGCTGGTTCTAGCGTAGCGCTTGTTGGCCACCGGCGCTGGAGTTTGGGTTGCTTTCACCTGGGGCCCGGCTGTTTGTATCCATCCAAAAAAATCAACGAGGTCTTGGACAGCCCCTTTAAATACACTGAACCCTTTGAGCTGAACACAAAGGAGAAAGAGCATCCCTCTTGCTAGCAGCAGAAACAGCTTCTTAATCCCCTCGAGTGGATTATCCCAAATGCAAATTTGTAAGGCTAATTCTCCCACAGCACATCCGCACGGAGATTAAGAGAGCCCGAGCTCTAAACAGCCACCCAATGGTGCTGCTGGCCAGCATGCTGCGTGCCCCTAGGGACAGCCGGCATCCCAAATCCCGTTATCCTGGTCCTAAAGGGACGCAGGCCACGCTGGCTCAGGGTAAATCCAGAGCGCTCTCCTAGAGAGCTGCCAGCAGCACCCCAGGCTCAGGCTACGTTTCCGAGAGAATCAGAAAGCCAACCTCGATGCGAAGGCTCAGCGGAGGAAGTATCTGCACAAAGGGAGCACGTGATACGGCAGCGGGTGAAATAATTAACCAAGTCCAAAGGGGCTCTGGGTCAGCTTTCTGCCAGCGGAGGAAACAAGGAAACGAAGAAAAGGACCACAGCGGCGTGCATGGGAGGACAAGAAGTCACGGGAGGTGCCTGTAATAATAAAATGTGAAACCAAGCAAGAAAAAAAACCACATTCAACATGTTTAGAGAAGACTTGGCTGTTAAGAAATAAACTCCAAGCAGCCTCCAGTGTGGCGATGCCACGGAAACACGGGCTCTTGTGGGTTTGGCTTTGTCTGGGCATGGCTTGAGCCCAGGTCAGGCTCCGCAGCACCAGCCACCTCGCTCCGTGAGCCGAGGGCGATGAGAACGCGTGTGAATTATGACCGTGGAAAGCCAGACACGTGATGAGTACGTACTCGGTATCCTCAAAGTAAAACTGCAAGTGCACAGCCCTGCCAAAAGAAGGGTTTCTTATTTGTATTTCTTTGCTCCATAGAGAACTGCTGGAACACAAGCAGGACCGGGGGCTGGTTCAGGGCTCAGCACCCAGGGAAACCCAGGCAGAAAGCAGAAAACAGCCTGGTTTTTACACCGACCTTCGCATTTGCCATTCCTTCACGTCACCTCAACACGATCACAAGCTGCCAATTGCCACAGGTACATCCTGACGCCGAGCGGAGGGTTATTTCCAAATGACTTCCTATTCCTCAGCCCGTTGGCAGAAGGAAGCCCTAACAGCCTTGTTTTGCTCTGCCTGACCGAGGCGGGTCCCCATCCAGGCAGGGAATTACTCAGGGGCTCTCTCCAGCCCTTCAGCGCAACGTGAAGTCGCTCAAGACAATAAAACACCAGCTCTCCTCCGGACCTGGCAGTGATGGGATTACAGCAGCAGCCCTTAAAAACCATTTTAAACCGCAGAAAATGCCCTGCTGCCTTGGGAACAGGCTGCAGACCATTCAGAGCCCGTAACTGCTGGATTTCCCCATCCCTCCATCCTTAACAGCCAGGTCTGTAGGGCAGCGTCAGGCGTTTGCGGGCAGAGAGCCTTGGCCAGGAGTACTGGGGGGAAGCAGAGGGCCAAGACCGCATCCAGCCAGGCTTTGAGCATCTCCAACGATGGAGAACGTGTGGCCTGCGGGCCAGCCTGTCCAGT